GGGAGCAAAAGGATGTCCAGCTCTGAGAGCTCCTACTACTGTTCCCTGCTTCTGGATGAAGCAATCCCACCAGTATTGGGTTTTCTCAGCCATCCCTGCCTCCCAGAGTTGATACTTTCCATGATGACAGGCCACATTTTAAGCACTTTGGCCTGCTTTAGAGAACTTACCTGTAAGAGCATACCAATAGCAAATTGCTGTAGTTGCTAAACAAATTTTGTGTTTTCTCTGCTGAAGCTGGGTGTTGCTGATACCAAATTTTCATCATTGCTTTGTTACATAAGAGCGAATCCTGCAGTGCCAACAGCCATTGTTGTATTGAAACTGGGCCTGTTCACACCAGGAGGTCTTGGACAGAGGAAAATACGAATAAAAGCAGGGCGGAGGTGTTGGTGTCCCACTCTGCTGGGCAATACTACCCTAATTATCTGAGTTCAAAGAAGATAGAGTAATGGTGCTTTATGGCACTGACCGATCGGCAGCTGTATCCTGATAATGCTGTGCACCATTGCAGAACTATGTCATCTGGAAACTAGTCTAGTACTGAGAATTAGGTTATACTTCTGTCATCTGATTCAAGAAGTAACAGCAGGAGTTCTGGGAGCAGAGGAGGGAGACAAGGCTGGAAACCCTCTCAGTGGTAGCATCCCCTTGGTTAATTTTGGCCTGGCAGCTGCAGTGTTCAGGCCATTTCCATTGGGTTCTGTAGAAAAACACCATACAGACAAGGTGCTTACTGTCTTGTCTGTTGGAGGTGTTGAATGGCACAGCAGTGAGCTGTGTTCTGACTGCACAGCATGAGCATGTGCAGTGCTGCAGGTGGCAAGAACTCCCATCAGATTCAGGTGGCCTTTAGGTCTTGCACCATATGTGCTGTGCTGGTATGAGCTTGCTGGAGGGGAGTGGTAAGTCTTCTTGTCAGTGTGAAACATTGGAGCACATCTTGTTTCCAGTTGTTCTGAGTTGTATGGCCTGTTCTGGGTTGTGTGGGGATGACATAAGCCTGCTGTCAAACACTAGGACTACACTGCAAAGAGATTCTCCAAGAGTAAAGCCCTTTCAGATGGCAAAACACATGGAAGTCTTTATGGAGCAAGACTGTTGCATGGGATCTGGATCTTCAGAATGGTAGCAAAGCATAGTCCATGGTGAAACACAGAAGTCATCTACCAGATCTGGAGAAAGGATTGCTGAGGGAGCAGTGTTCTGCAGAGCACTCTGGCCCTGCAACTGAAATGTGATACTGACACCAGTAATTCCTGACATTCCTAAATCTGATGCCAGGAAATGCTGAGGTCTTGCACAACTGAATCTATTGTCTAGAAAGAACACAAGAAAAGATGAAATTGCCACTGGCTTACTGAGGATGCATGCTTGTGCCTAAGTATATGTATAATTTCTTTTGCTCTTCTATCATGGTGACTGTGAAAGCCAAAGACCCTTTTGTGTTAGGTGTGCTTTCTTGTTCTCCCACCAAGGCAAAACCCTTTTAAATCTGCCATCCAAGTGAGAGACCAGTCTTTCTACATCATTCATCACCAAATTCTCACTGTCTTCCCTTACACCTTTCTCTCCTAAGTGAACGTGGAGTAAGTAGCAGTAGAGCTGGGAGCAGCAGCTAGTGTGAGTGAGCTTCGAGGGGGGGATATCCTGCTTCTTACTACTATTGCAGTTGCTGAACCTTAGTTCCATCTCAACAGCAGCACAGGGTCAGCTTTCCCTTGATTTCTGTTGCCATGTTCCTTTGTTTTCTTAGTGATGTGTGTAATCTTGAAATATGCTCAGCTTTAATTACTGTCATTACAGACACATTGAATTTGCTCTTTTGAATTCTGTGGGGGCTCCTACAGTTACCAGAAATGGAAGCAAACTATTAATGCAGAAATACGGAGTTAACTTTAAAAATGTCTCAAACTCTGAACAAATATGGCTGTATGGATGCCTGTTTCTCCTGTTAGATATTTCTCACCTGTCTGCTGATTAGCTTCATTAAACACAAAAGGAAAATAAATCCATCAAGTTCAGTAGAAACTTTCAAGAATAGATCCACAAGTAGTGTGGTTCATTGAAGCAATAGATTATAGTTCTTGTTAGATTACCAGTGATAAATGCACTTGCAAAATACAAGTGTATGGTGCTTTGTAGAAGTGTTCCCAGGTATGCTCCAATGGTGTCACAGTCACAGATCTTTCCAAAGAGACATCCATGCTCTGGAGAAGAGACAAGCAAGACCCTTGATTTGTCTGCAAGGTGGTTATGTTCTTATCCTCTGCCTTGGAGGCTTTCAAATAATAAATTTATTACTTTTGGGAGTAACTGCAACTCTTAATATGCATTTACAAAGGAAGTTCTCTCCCACTCCTCTCCATTTACAATTGCAAAGAGAACAAAGGCATTGGGCTGTTCATAAGGGTGAAACAGAACTCTTGCACCATGGTCTTTTCCATCTGGATGGCTGCAGGGGCAAGGGCATTTGCCCTCCATCTGATAACCTGATACCTGACCAGCCCATGTTAATCCCTTCACCACTTACCTTGTGGCACATGCATGGAAAGTCCTCTACCACATCTTCCTTGGGTTTAGGCCTCATTCCTATAATATCATAGAAGACAATACAGCTCTTGAAGAGATATAATTACAGCCAGGGATGGAAAGGAGATGCTTTATCATCACTGGCTGATGAGTGTTAAGGTTATGCTGCTATTCTGAAGCTCTCTTGGAACAAAGATGTCATAGTGGTTGCTCTCAGTCTTCTGTATGGACTTAACAGCTGTAGAGGAAAGATTGGAGGAAGGCTGTGGGTCCCCTGCAAAGCCACACATAAAGTAACTTGTCACAAAATCTACGTTCTCTGTTCATGGCCTTGAGGCTACCCTTAGAGGTGGCTGCCCCTTGTTGGCTTCAGAGAGCTTGTGCCCACTGCTGCCATTCCTGTGGACCTTTCCCGTACAGTGGTGACCTCACACGGTGAGTGCTGGACATGCTGCCATCCCTCCTCCTGGGGTCAACCCTGGTGACAGTGGTTCTGGTGATGCTGCTGAGAACATCATACATAGTCTTGTCCCTCTGAATTATGCTCTGCATTTGAGTGTGTGGCAACTGTGACTCAGCTGCACACTGTCCCCAGACAGATGGATTGCAGGGGTTTATGCTTCACTCTGACCTGCTCTGAGATGTATTAAAACCATAACTCCCACCCGGATGTGATGGGCAATGGGCCATAAGCAGCACATTTCTCTGTGAAGAAGCATGGCTTCCCTTTCTGGGCTGTGTCTGCTATGTAGGAAGACCACAGCTCTCTAGCATTTGGAACTGACTTTGGTTCAAATTAGTTCCCATTGCAAAGCATTAGCACTTTACCTCTGCAGCCAGCTGAAGGCCAATTTGTGTCAAGACTGAATTCACAGGCTGGTTGTGCTATTGTCATTGTTCCTTACTCTCTTAAGTTTTATTTTGTAATTTAAGGCATATTATTACTGATGTTAGCAATAGCTGAACTGTGCTGGTGTTTTAAATTAGGCAATGGCCAACCTTTCACCTTACTGTACCCCATTCTGGTAAAAGATTAATGGTTTAAGAAAAGATTTCGCACAATGAGTCATAGGAGAACAATAAATACTTTAAACACCCAGAACAGTGGGAAATGGCAAGGTTTTGCAGAATAGTTTTGAAACAAGTAGAGAACACAAACAGAAATCTTGCATAAGATACTGGACACTGCATTTGGCAACATTCCAAATGTTTTACTGAAATTAATTAAATCAGCTAAAAAAAATACTTTAGATGAACTTAGCTCATGTGAAAGCCATATCTCTAAAGCTTAGATTACCACCTCCAAATGAAGAATCCTACCTACTGAACACGCACAATAAACTCAAAACATATTGTACCTTTAAGTTGAAGCAAGCAGAAGATTGTCCAATAGTTATTGAGTAGGCAGTTATTTCGACATTAGGTAAGTGCAGACTTAGATATTTTGAAAATATTTTAGCTCTACTGCTTAGCTAGAACTGGTTGTGCTAGCTCTGTGGATTCACCACCCAGCACCCATCTCTGCATAAGCATGAAATAAACATGATCTTCTGTGGATCAGCTTCTTGCATACCAGGTTGAAAGAACATATTTTTAGGGACAACTTTACAACAGCAACATCTTTATTCTTTTCCAACAACATCAACTTCTTATTTGCCCCATTTGAGTGGGTACAGCAACATGCTGCTGCAGGGGGAAACAGAAGAAGAGGACACCCTCTCCCCACAGAATGTGTTACTGTTAGCAGCATTTTGCTCTGTGCACTCTTACTGAAAGCCATTTCACCCAGAGAGTGTCTTAAAGCTGAGCTTAAATTGAAAGATGAACTGTACAAACCAGATCCGGACTGAAGAGATTTTTTATTAGTACCATCCTGCTGCTTCTGGAAGTTCATATCTTGACAACAATCAAATTATTAGAGGCTCACTAAAATCCTGAGTGGAGAAATAGCGTGAGATTAAACCAAATAATTTCTGTACCAACTTTAGCATATGCAGACAAGCAACTGCAAACCTTGATAGTTTTATTACTCTGGGAAGCAGGAAAGCTTGTAATTGTGTATTACAAATATATTTCACAAAAAAATGTTTAAATACATTCTTGTACCCGAAAGAGATTTTTGGTCCACTTAGAGCCTGGGCAGTGGCTGTCCCTTAGCTGAGCAGCACTGAACTGTCAAGCCTTTCAGTGGCACAGCAAAGTAGGGGTGATCAGCTGCTGCTCCTTCCTCTGCACTGACAGTACATTCTGTCAGCCACACCAGTGCCTGCAACATTAACACGTAGGAGGAACTTCAGTGGTAGGCAGAAAATGTCAAGAGAAAGACCTCCAAATCATTGTTTCTTTCCTTTTTCAGTAGAAACCTACATCAGGGCTCAGTTCAGCTTCCAAACAAAGCACTTCTCCCAGACTTCAGTTCACTTACAGATTAGTGTGGCTGTACCACAATAAAGCTGCAATCAAAAAGCTTCCATTTCAGAAGTCACTTTATTTATATTTTTAGTAGGAAAGAAGAAGAGGGCTTAGGTTTTTGTTGAAGCTATTACTAAATTAGTATGCTGCTGTTTCCAAGCCACTTTTTTCCCCAAGTTACATTTATCATTCTAGTTAATAAACATACATTTCCATTAACATTTTGTGGTCTTTGTGTTGAAATCAGAAGACAGATTGAAAGATGATTTTTTGCAAAATCATTTTGGCCAATGTTTCTGAAGATGTTCCTTTAACTGTGGGATTGTGGACAACTGTTGTTTACAGCAATGGCATCTGAGGGGAAGTTTGAGAAGTTCAGAGGTATGGTCTTTCACCATCACTTTTCCCTTGCTTCTTACCATCTCTATGACATCTGGGGATAAAAATAAAAAATACCATAGGTATTGAGACCACATAGCATCATGAAACACATGACACCGCAATCTCGGTGCATTTGTTTGCATGCACATGTCATTGCTGCATTCTAATTTAAACCAGCCACAAAATTTGTTGACTTTTACTCGGTGCTACTCCCCAGTATCTTAAACTAAATAATACCTTTCACTTACTGCAATAAAATGTACAACTTGCACATTCGTTTGGAAGAAAAGCCCAAAACAGAACCTGCAAGCAGGATTATGTGTTATGAAATACTTTCTCTAATCATTACCTTGAGAGTTTAAGAAGTAGTCTGTAGTAAAAGAATTCCAGTGCTTTTTGGTTTTCAGGGCCGGAGAATCAAAATCCTGGCTGATTACATGCAAATGTAGGTGACTGAAAAAAATATAACATAGATATGAGAAAAAAAAGTCAAAGTTGTTTTGCAGTTTTATCAGTTGCAAACACGATTCAGCAGGGTGCCAGCCTTGTGGGTCAGTCCTGACCCTGTAACAAGAAACAAGAGTCTGTTCTGGAAGCACTGTCTCTTGTCAAGCATTTCACTTATAAACAGTCAGGGTCACTAGTCCATTATATTCCATTGGTCCCTCACTGCAGTTTATATTCCTGCTAGTTTCCAAAAAAGCAGAGACAGTAGTGTTAGCAAACCACAGGTATAGTAAAGGTTTAATAATAAACCAAAGTTTTATTATTTCTAGAGTAAGTGAATGGGACTTGATCAGTGCTCAAAAGCTTCATTCAAGAACTGGAGAACAACTGACTGCAGTATCCACAGACATTTGGACACTCTAAGGTGTGGACTTGGACACGAGATTCAAATCCTTGCTCAGTATTAGGCAGGACTTGACAGGTCTACAAGTCAGTCTCTAATCTCATGCTGGTGTGCTGGTGGCCTGGGAACGGGATGCCCCCAGCAATGGCAGCAATGCTTCTGTCACTCAATGCCTGGGGCTGGACCAAAGGCATCCAGAGCCCCAGGCACCAACCTCTGCTAGAGAAGGCATTCCCCCCCATGCCCAAGATGGCCATGCATCAGGATCTACACAGTAGTGTGGGGAAAAGGACTGCACACCAAGCTGTCTGTAGTGTTGAGGAGGATTGCTGGTTCTCTAGCAATGCTAAATCTCCTCATGGATTTAGCCCCAAATCTGTGTAACTGGAAGAACAGCATGTCCACCACATGACTCCTCTAGGTCTTACCTCATGCTGGGGATAGCATGGTAACCCAGTCTGAATTCAAGGCTGCCTCTGGCAGGGCACTGTTCAATCATTTTTTGCCCAATGGCATGCATATGTTCCAGGAGTTCAAGGTGGTCCCTGGTGACTGACTTCAGGCTTGAAATAGGGTCCCATGGTAAGATAAGCCAGTGGTAACGCGCTTTGGGAAATTTATCCTTAATGACTACGGTCTTTTCATCTTTGTAAACCTTGCAAAAAATGAAATAACTAGATTACTTTCTGATTAAATAACTAGATTACTTTCTGACTGAAAGTTAAATATATTATTCCTATAAGTATGGAGAGATGCTATCCAATGAAAACTTGCTGGAATTCAGCTGCTCCAGGATAAGTACCCTCTTCCATAACATATATTAGGCACCTATGGAGAGGTGTTCCAGCATCCTTTTTCATATACTTTATTATAAGGCAAAAGCTTTCTAATCTTACTTTGCAGTAAGTTAACTATAACTACAGGGGTATATGAACTCTTCAAAATCACCTGGACTGAGATAGCAGTGAGGCCTAGGGAACGCCACTTCCATCAGGCTATGTTCAAGCTCTGTAGTCATAAACAAAACCAGTGTGCTAAATACAGAGTATGTCAGAATGCACTAGGTAGGTTGCAGATTTCCAGAGTGAAGCACGCATCTCAGATGTGCTACCAGCAGTGTGCTGTGGACCTCCACCAGCATTATTAAGATAAAAATATTCAAGTTACTATTTCAGTTTGTCCTACCCAGTATGCTGCTTTGTAAGATCACTCACAAGAAGAAGAACAGATTCCTGTCTATCATGTCCTTCTTCCTGTTTTTATTTTGTTTTGCCTTCTACAACAATTCAGCGCAGCTGAGGAAGAGAAATGGTTGGGAAGCTTGTGGACAACAGTGGGAAGAATCCAGCAATAAAAAGCCATCAGTCAGTGTATTGTGTCTCTGGTGTCTTAGCAGTGCACTGGCTGATAAGAGATGGATGATGTCACCTTTGCTGATTATTCTTGTATGTTTATATACAGATCAGTCTTACTCTACAAGAAAAAAGATCTATGAATACACAAATCATAGGACTGACTCCTTAGCAGCATACTAGTATCTGCTCCTGCTGCCAGTAGGAACAGGATCATGTTCAAGCTTTTTCAGAAAAAAGAAATATTTCCATTTAATATTTGATTAAAAAGAAAAAATAAGAGTTCTATTGTTTGTGTATTCAGATTGAAACTACAACTAATAAACAAACAGTTATTTGTGTCTAACATTAAAAGAACAGTTTTAAAACCTGCTTACATTTTGGGTCAAGAAACCCCTGTTTTGGTAAGTATATAGCATTCTGCTTCAGGGATAAGAATTAAGTTTCATGTTTAAGAAGTATGGAAGAATTTCCATGGTTTTATCATCCCCTATACATAGACTCATTTGAAAGTGCTGGCAATTATAGGACAACGGGCATGCAGTTCTCCTGTAAATCTATGCAGTTCAACGTTTCATGCTTGTATTAAAAAAAAAATCAATCGAGAAATAGGAGCTTCTGTTTAGTTATCAGCTAAGCAAGGAACTGGTTCACAGGTCGGGCACAAAGGGTTACAGTGAATGGATTGACCTCAGACTGGTGACCTGTCACTGGTGGGGTTCCACAGGGCTCCATCCTCAGACCTGTGCTCTTCAAAATTTTAATAAATGACCTGAACATAGGACTGGAAGGAATAGAAAGCAAGTTTGTCAATGACACCAAATTGGGAGAAACTGTCAACTCCCTTGAAGGCAGGAAGGCCCTGCAGAAAAACCTGAACAAATTAGAGGGCTGGGCAGAAGTTTAACAAGTTCAAGTGCTCAATTCTGCATCTTGGACAGGGCAACCCTGGACATGCAGAGAGACTGGGGAGCCAAAGACTGGAGAGTAGCTCCATGGAATGGGACCTGAGGGTCCTGGTCAGTGGCAAGCTGAACACGAGTCAGCAGTGCCCTGGCATCCAGGAGGGCCACCCGTGTCCTGGGGTGCATCAGGCACAGCATTACAGCCAGGCAAGGGAGGGGATTGTCCTGCTCTGCTCTGCACTGGGGCAGCCTCAGCTCAAGTGCTGGGGGCAGTTTTGGGTGACACAATAGGAGACTTAAAGCTCTTAGAAAATGTCCAAAGAAGAGCTAAGAAGATGGTCAAGGGCCTTGAAAGGAAGCCATATGAGGAGTGGCTGCGGTACTTGGTCTGTTCAGCCTGGAGGAGACTGAGGGGAGAACTCACTGCAGCTCCACCTTCCTTGTGAGGAGAAGAGCGGCAGGCTGATCTCTTCTCTCTGGTGACTTGTGACAGAACTTTAGGAAATGGCCTGAAGCTGAGTCAGGGGAGGTTTAGGCTGGATATCAGGGAAAGGTTCTTCACCCAGAGGGTGTTTGGGCACTGGAACATGCCCCCCAGAGAAGGCCTCATGGCACCAGGTCTGTCCAAGTTCAAGAAGCGTTTTCAGGTACATGGTGTGATTTCTGGTGATTTCCTGTGAGGGCTGAGATTCAATGATCCTGATGGGTCCCTTCCAACTCAACACACACTATTGTGGATGACAGCCTGGTCAGGGAGAGAGAAATGGCAATCGTTTCTCACAGTGGCTTGTGAGAATTTTTAGGGAGTAGTAGGAATGTGAGAACTTGTTAGTATAAACAATCTGCAGGTGGTGTTTTTCCACTGTGTTTTTCTGTTCTTCTCAAGGACGGTGTGTGAGAAAGTTGTTTTCATTAACTAGCCAATCAAGTAGAATTTATCGTATCAGTCTATATAAACCAGAGAATCCTATGTATTAAAGCTCCTTTTTTCTCCTCTTGCAATTTTGTCTCTCATCTGTTCTTGTGTCACTCTTAATTATCTTCAGCCTAATGGGGATCATCACCTGAAAGGGCCCAGTGAGGCCAGGGGTTAGATCTGTCAGCTGACATAAAAGTGTAAAAGTTAAGAATTTGCTGGAAACCAGGAAACTGCACTAAGAAATCAGACAGCACTGACTGCTGCAGAATGGGAACCTCTGTGGCTCACTCAGCTTCAAATGATACCTCCACTTCAGTTGGTTTCCCTGAGGAAACAAAGCAACTGCATGGCTTGCCTGCTCTCCCTTCAACCTTTTTGAAATCTGTTGGCCAAATCTCACAGTACAGAGATCTCAAAGATAACTAACACAATAAGAATCTGCAAAGTTAGTAAAGGAGAGACTCACAAGCTAATGTTACCACAGAGAGAGATCCAAGTACATTTCAGCCCTTATGCAGGACTCCACTGATTACCCAGATTGTTAAAGCTAATTGCAGAAGGAAAAAGAATAAGAAAGTAAGCTCATTTAGCTTTGCTAGACAGGATCCACTGTAAAGTACAAGTCTCACCTGCATTTTTGGATCTTGCATGGAGCTCTTTAGACCCTGACTCCAGTGTCCTAAATGTTCCTATACCACAGAATTGGAAAAATAAATTATAAGACCATTCAGCATCCAATTATATACTTCAAAGGATTCAGAAAAGAATATTCATTTGTAGACAGCAGTACAATAACAGCTTAATGACAGCACAATTATTTCCCTTCTATAAAATTCCAACATACCTCTCCAACTGCCCCCAAAAAGCTACTGTTGAAAACTTTTAACAAGATACTGTGAAGATGTAAAGTTCAATCTTCCAAACACTGGAAATTCAACAACAGGGAGATATAAATGTGCTTAATAATTTGCCTGCACGTGTCATGGCACAAGGCCCTCCACTTCAGGGATCACAATAACCAAAGAAAGAACAAAGATGTCCATTAACTCTCCTATCCCATACTGCTCTGCAAAGAACAAAGTAGTTGCAGTGTGTGGCCTTATTCTTAGATGTATTTATTTTTTTATATTGTCCAGTGGCTAAAATAATAAAGGCACAGGAAGATCAAGGCAACACAAGCTATTTCTTAACTGGTTACTGAACACCTAATAGGTCTGTCTTGAGTGCACCTTTTTCAAAACAGATGTTTTCACTATTCAGAACAGTAATGATATTCATATTCTTACAAAGGAATATGTTCAAACCTTATTATAGTGCTGGCAGGGAAACAGTGTAAGTTGTCATCTCCCTGCTCATTCCACCACAAATCTAACCCTAATATAACTCCTCAAGTCCACAAATTAAATAAATAGTTAACTCCAGCAACCTGAGAATAAAATTTTGTCTTAAGGGGTCATTTATGTGCCTTCTCCTCCAGCACTGCAATAGTTCCAAATGCATTAAGGACTTTTATTTTGTCCATGTCACAGGGCTAAAAACTCCCTTTCAAAGATTCTGGCTGCTAACATTCACTAATATAACCATGGTTCTGCCATATGAAGTGAACAAATAAGGAGGAGAAAAAAGCCCCATGCAATTACAAATAAATAAATCTTAAAAACGAAAGGCTCACATTGTTCAGTTCTCTGTGCACTTGCTTTTAGATAACCACTCAAGAGCCAGGACAGTGTCCTTGGGTGACTGCAGCTAAGTGGAGCTCACGTGGACAGTCCTTCTAGCAGAAACTGCAGCCGAAACCAGAGATTAAATCCTCACTTGCTACAGGGAAGCCCCCTCACACACACACACCTAACCTTCAGGTCAGGTTAGAATGGGTCCTAAGTGACTTTCCCAGGGTGTAGGTGATGTCAGGATCTTTATACTTTGAGGACCTGTGTTCACCAGAGATGCCTGCCACCAGCAGAATGGACAAAAGCAAAAGACAATGTCTCCCCATGGAGGCGACAACCCCAGGAGAAACAGCACAAGAATTAACACCAGCACACTTGCCTTTTGGCTCAAAGCTCCTTCATGTGTAGATACTTTGGTATTGCTTAGCTTTGGATTTGTAGAACTGCCTTGTGTATCCACCACCTCCAACTTCATTGTTTTTCTGGGCACAAGCTCTATATCATCATTCTCACAGGAGTCCTCATGTGGCATCTTGTCTGCTTTTGAAACAGTTTTCCCAGACTCTTCGGCAAATTCCACCACATAGGGGTAAAGATTATTTACAATATGCAGAACTTGGCCTGGCTTCATTTTTACCACTTCATCCTTGCCAATATTCACAAGATCAACACTAGTTGGGTTGACCCCTATCTTTGGTAGACAGGAAAAGGAAAAAATAGTAGAAAATTATGTTGTAAGTGGAATCGCCAACTTCTGCTCAGTTCTCCTGGAATACCATTATCCTAGAAAGCAAATGCATTCTGCATTCATCGCCCAGCCTGCCCACATCAACCCACTTTAGCCAACCAGGCAGTGAAGCACTGTGGACGTCTGTTTCTGTCCCAGTCTTGCAGTCACAGCTGTCAGCACACAACCGCAGGGCCTGCCATCAGAAGGAGCTTGGGTCTGCAGCAGCTACACAGTTACAGCATCACTTGTGCTGCACTTCCCTCACAAATTAGACACCTATGAAACAACTAGTTACAACTGTTACATGTAACAACTGTAACAACTGTTACATGAAGTAACAACAGCAACTATTTCTGAAGAGCAACTGTAGTTTTAGCAAATTATTTTTGTGCAATCAAACTGTGTTGTAGGCAACCTACAGAGATTGCTTGACAGATGGATTTTGCATCATCATGTGGGTGACCTTACAAAAATTAGGAGTCTTCAGCAAAATGCTTTTGGTTAATGTATATGCACAAAACAGGTTTTAGGAAATCAGCTCTCTTCTGTGACTGATGAACTCAGAGTTTTTGCTAGCTTTGTCACTGCCATACCTGCATGCTTCACAAGACAGTACTATACCTCTCACTTGGAATTCACTGCAATGAAGCACACACCTGATTCCAGCCAGGATCTCTTTAGTCTACAGCTATGCAGTTTCCCTCAAGTCAAGGATGCTTCCCATCAGCGAATAAAGTATCAAACAACTGATCACTGGAACCTTGTGCCACACATCTCTCACCTGGGGAGCAACTCTTCACACACACAAGCAGCAGTACCAGAGACCTTTCCCTTCCTATTCTCTCAGAGACTGGGTCTTGTAAAGTGTGAGGGAATAGGCCTGCCTCCATCCATCTGGTAACATTCCTGCAGGGCTGTCTTACATCCCATCCCTTCCTATAAGTAACCACATCTCTGGCCCTATCAGTCCACCAATAAAAATGTTCTACAACTGCATAGTCCCATTAACACAAGAACTTCAACCTTAAACAAAGGGCTGCCTCAGCTTATGAAGTTTAAGGCTCAGGAAAAAGATAAGCAAGTTTAGTAGAAGAAGTCCAAAGTCTCTCAAATGCAGCACCCAACAGAACTGATTGAGTACTCACAACAGCATTCCCTGATGCTACAAATCTGGCTGTGTTAGACTGGAATGTATCTGGAATGAATAGTGCAACCTCTCACTGAGGTGCACAAATAAGAAAATACACTTGCTGTAACTTCTCTTGGTGATAAGAAAACTTCAGGTCCCTCAGACACCGTGATTAGAATCACCACTTGGAGCAGTTGTGGAGTTAAGTACAACTGTACCAGTACCAGAAATATTGGAGATCCATGCATAAAAACATACCTGTTTAACTGTGACATAACCCTTGTTACAGTCTGCTTTTAACTGAACTGGAAAAGAAAGAACAAAGTGTCACAAAACCATGTAAATAAAAAGAACTCTGCTGAACCACCCAGTCCAGAAAACACTCCTCTTTTTGAAGAGCCATATCTTTCTGGAGCTAATCTTTGTGAATGCATGCCAAGAATATTTCTGCCTCATCTCTTCATACCTCTTCTCATACCACAGGTAAAACAGAGTCAACCCATACACTGAGCCAAGGGTGGAATTACTTTGGAACAAAGGTGGATTCTGTTGATATTTATACATATGCTTGACATTCTAACCAGCCCACTGGGACAATAAGGCATAGAGCAAGACTGTGTCCAGAGGCACAGAATATAACACAGGGAAGATGTGCAGTATTAAATAAGTGATAGGTATTTTCATATATTCTCCAAGATCACATTATTTTACATATTAAATAATAATTATGCTAAAAATCAGTTGGTGGAATACTAGGGAGAAGAAGTGCTGCTCATGAAGTGAGCAGTGAAACACAATTGTGGGCCTGGGAACTCACAAAAAGCTTTTGTATGTGGAGGCAGACGTCCTGTCTCTGATTTTGTAGGCCCCAGAGATCCCCATAAGTGCTTATTAAAAAGGCTTGATGACTTCAAGAAGCAGGCAACACTGCAGAACACACAGAGGAACAAGGCACGCTCAGCTGCTGCTGCACGTGGAAAGCAGGATTTGAGCTAAATCACCTTACCTTGCTGACGTGAACACTTCTTATCTGTTATCCCAGTCTCTGGGCCACGCCCAATTACCACAGGTTCCAAGTGTGGCAGTTTCACCCGCTGAGTGCATTTCTCTTTGCTCACAAGCCAGCACATACGCATCACTGTGCTATAGAGCAAAATAAACAGTGTGTTACCAACACGCCACTTTCTGATGGGCTACCTTGCTGTGGAACATGGTCCATGAATTCTGCTACCATTAGGTTAGCCAATTCTATTAACTTGGTTCAAGTTTCTGAAATGCAAAGCAAACCATGTCACCAGCACTTGCATAATCCAAGAGCAGGTTGCTGTTTGAAAGGGCAATACTGTTTTCCTTCCTACACTACCATACATTCTCACATCTGTGAACCATATATAGGAAAAATCAATTTTATTGACAGTTCCATCTGACAGAAGAGCCTAACCACAAAAAACGTCACTTTGTTTCCCACTGAATCAGAGTTCACCGAAGAGATTAATTTAACAACCAAAATAAGAGAGAGCAGCAGAAGACAACACATGATGAGAGAGTTGTGACAGCTTCATCCAGCAACAGTCAGCACACGGACCATGCCATGTAACCTTCAAGCTTACATCAGTTTGACCCTGGTAAAGATCCCTCATGAGCTCTGCACTGGAGAGCTCATGCCTGCGGAAAGCAAGGCTCGGTCCCCAGTCTAACGCTGGCATGCCACACACCCATCCCCACGGCACACGTCCATCCCCACGGCACACACCCATCCCCACGGCACACACCCATCCATCCCCACGGCACACGCCCATCCCCACGGCACACACCCATCCATCCCCACGGCACACACCCATCCATCCCCACGGCACACACCCATCCCCACGGGAACANCCATCCCCACGGCACACACCCATCCCCACGGGAACATGCCCATCCCCACGGCACACACCCATCCCCACGGGAACATGCCCATCCCCACGGCACACGCCCATCCCCACGGCACACGCCCATCCCCACGGCATACGCCCATCCCCACGGCACACACCCATCCATCCCCACGGCACACACCCATCCATCCCCACGGCACACGCCCATCCATCCCCACGGCACACGCCCATCCCCACGGGAACACGCCCATCCCCGTGGGCCCCGTTCCCATGGCAACGCCTGACCGACCCCTCCCCCTTACCGCGCGCGTGATGTTCGCGCCGCCGCAGCCGCCACTGCAGCCAATCAGCTGTGGCAGCGTGTCTCCCACGTGACTAGAGGGAGGCGCCCGCCGCGGCGCGTAGCTCCGCGCAGGCGCACTGGGCCCGCGCACCCGGGGGTGGGCGCTGGGCCCTCACAAAGGGGCAGTGCCGGCCGGCCTTGCGGCGGCGGAGCCAAGCCTGCGTAGGGTGAGGGGGGTAAGGCGCGGAGCGTTGCCGGAAGGCGACGGCCGGGCCGGCGCTGCGTACCCGGTGCTACTCAGAGCCTTCGAGGGCGGGAGCGGCCGGCGGCGCAGGCGCAAGGCGAGGCGGACGCTGGGCAGGGACGGCGCCGCCCACGCGGGGCGGGGCGGGGCCGCGCTCCAGATCGGCGGCGGAGGCGGGCGCAGATTGGCCAAGCGCCTTCCCCTCCCGAGCAGCCATTGGTGGGCCACTCGCCCGGGCCCTGCGCGCGGCGGGGCAGGACTTCCGGGGCGGGGCCGGCTGCTGAAGCGGCGGGGCTGCGGGCCCGGCCCGAACTTTCCAGAAGAGTCGGGATCGGAGCTGCGCGGAGTGGGATCCGCGACCGCCGCCCCGGGACCCCCGTGCCGCCACCGCCATGGTGAAGGAGACCACCTACTACGACGTGCTGGGCGTGAAGCCCAACGCATCCGCCGAGGAGCTGAAGAAGGCCTACCGCAAGCTCGCACTCAAGTACCACCCGGACAAGAACCCCAATGAGGGCGAGAAGGTCGGCGGGACGGGCCGGGGCGGGGGGGGCCGCGCGGGAGGGGTCGGGCGGGAGGCCCGCCGGGGGTGCCGCGGGTGCCTGAGTGCCGGTGCTGTTCTTTCTGCAGTTCAAGCAGATCTCGCAAGCTTACGAAGTGCTGTCGGACCCGAAGAAGAGAGAGCTCTATGACAAAGGAGGCGAACAGGCTATCAAGGAGGGTGGCTCCGGCGGCGGCTTCGGGTCACCCATGGACATATTCGATATGTTCTTCGGCGGTGGAGGAAGGATGCAGAGGGAGAGGCGAGGTAACGTGTTGGCGAGGGTATCAGATTCTCTGAGGGGAATGCCTTAGATGTGGGAGTTTAAACAGAAATTATAGACTTAATCTGAAAATTGGAGAAAACTCTTGTCCCTTAACACCTGAAACACCAAGGGAGGGCCCTTGGTTGGTGTGGTGGTAGTTGGGTATCCCTGTGCACTGTCCCCTGTTAATCGCTAAAGCAGGTGTGTTCGGAGTACTTTTAGCTTGAGTGTAAGCCCAGCTGCTAGTAGACAAAATAGGAAATGGAAGGGTAAAGTAGCTTAAAATGGTTTACTAATTAAGTTACTGTAACTGTAGTATCTAAAAGCAACTATCTAAATCAGATATCAAGATCCAGTTCAGTCTGTGAAATTTTTCTGTGTTCCTGCACTGTGCAGTGGAATTAAGTTGAAACGGCGGTAAAATGCTACCCAGAAGTTAAACTCCAGTTTAATCACGCTGGGAAAAACTTTAAAGCTGTTAAGAGCAGTGCTGAGCCTGTCACCTCTTAGTGAAGATCTGTTGAAAAGATGAAGAAAAAATGTTTTGTATCAAAATGTTAAGAGTGTCAAAGTACTTGTAATAACCCAGAGCTCAGCATCATTTACAAAACTAGGCCTACAGCAGCTGAAGTGCTAAGGAGTTCTTGAGGGTAAAAATATAATTGCTTATTTTTGCTTCCAGAAGGTCACCTGGTGAGAGGAAGGAAGTGCTGAAATGGAGATTCCAAACAGAGTCTCTGCCTTGTTTGTAGATCTTTTTGGTGACTTTGTTGAAACCTGAGTCCTGCATTATAAAACTTAAACGTTTGAGGTTCTGTGTGTTCTGTTGCTCATACTTGTTTGTACTTTTCCAGAAGGTCTCTTCTGACTTTAACAAAGTCAAAGTCATGACAACTGTTACCTAATATGACAGCACCTGGGAAGAAGCTTTTGACTAATACAAGCAAAACAAGACAAACCTCTATCGATACAAGATACTAAAGCCCAGAGACTTAGTTTATCATGGCTTGGCAGGGAGATGTGCCAACCAAGCTTCTAAACTTTAATTAAGTTCTGTTCTTTTACAGGTAAAAACGTGGTCCACCAGTTGTCAGTAAGTTTAGAAGATATGTACAATGGTGCGATGAGGAAACTTGCACTGCAGAAAAACATTATCTGTGACAAATGTGAAGGTAATGTTGAAACTGAAATTAAAGAGGAGATGTTTCTAAAGCTTTGGGGGATTTTTTTCTGGTAGCACATAACCACCTAACTCCATTTTTTGTTCTCAGGTCGTGGTGGTAAGAAAGGTGCTGTAGAATGCTGCCCTAATTGTAGGGGAACAGGCATGCAGATCAGAATTCACCAGATTGGGCCAGGAATGGTGCAGCAGATCCAGTCTGTGTGTATTGAGTGTCAGGGGCATGGGGAGCGTATCAGCCCCAAGGACCGGTGTAAGAGCTGCAATGGCAGAAAAATTGTTCGAGAGAAGAAGATACTGGAAGTTCACATTGACAAAGGTGAGGTGTCTTACTGAGGTGAAGTATTGAACTTGAATGTACTGACTGACTTTGCAGCACTAAAACAAAAGCTTTAGCAAATGTGGTGTTGATTTTGTGAGTAATAGTGCTGAATACACAGTAAAATTGCTTACTGCTGCCTTACAAAAGTAGACTTATTTTCTAGGGAAGGTCCACTATCTCTGTTCACTTCTAAAGCCTGGCACATAACTAAGAATGAATTCTGAAACCTGCGTTATTGTAAGAAGTGAATTATTTTTCAGGTCCCTCTAAGCCCAATTTGTGATCAGGTAACACAATCAATTTTCACTGCGTGCAGCAAAACTGCAGACTGATCACTTCCGCTGTGTTTCAGTGTGAAGGGGAGCCAGGTCTGCTATAGTGGCAGGGTGCACAGACAGTGCTAAGGCTCTCATGCTTAAAGCTCTGTTGACTACGCAGCCCTGACAGTGCTGCCCAATGCAGGTACCACTTCCTTGCCTGGCAAAATGCACCTCAATACACAAACCCTCAACGTGATGGGTGAACGGAATGGTATTGAATGACAAATGCATCTCTGTTGAGGGGGCTGCCCAAAAGCTGGTGGGAGAAGTCTGGACTAATGCAGCTTGTAAGGCAGAGCACGCTGACAAGTACATGACTTAAACGGTCTTGCTTGTGATTATGGCCTGCAGCTGCTACATGTGTAAGCAGAGCTTCTGCAGCACCTGAATTTGTAGGGGAGATCCATAGTGGTAGTAAATATAAGGTCTAGAAGGGATGTATTACTGATATTTTGAACAGGGAAGTCTTATGAGAAGGATGTTTTTATAGAAGTAAGGGAAAAGATTTATGTAGGATAAGAAAGCTAGTATTTTTGTTCAATCGATTTCTTGTGTGGGTGAAACAAGTTTCTTATGGGAGGTTTTCAGTCCATAGGGAATGCTTCTTGGACTTGGCAGGCAATCAGATCATTCTTCATAAGGAGATGCGCTACATATTTATGAAAGTGAAGAAGATGACTGGTCAACTGCTGTTGAAATAAAGTTTGTACACAGTGTTTGATTTCCTTTTTGTACTTGTGTGTATAATGAAAACTGTTTTGATTATATTTCCCTTTAGGACTTTATGTTGGTAGCTCTTTTGTCGGTGCAGTTAAACCTGATGGTTTTGAGACTGCATTCATGTTAGCACTGCTAAGATCTGTTAAATAAGTGAATGGATTTTAAAAAAAAGTTTCAAGGGAAGATCCTGATGTTCTTACTTAAAGATCCAGAGATATCTTGATACCAGCTCATGCCTGTAAAAGTGTTAGTTGTTGCTGCTTTTATCTTAAAAATAAGAAAATGGTTTCTTTGTTTTGTACAATAGGAATGAAGGATGGCCAGAAAATAACATTCCATGGTGAAGGGGACCAAGAGCCAGGTCTGGAACCAGGGGATATTATTATTGTCTTGGATCAGAAAGACCACTCTGTATTTACAAGGTAAAGATGCTTGAATTCTCTTGTGATATCTCCCGTGATGTTTTTCCACATGCTTCCTTGGTTACCACTCATCTTGTAGGTACTGGAGTGTCAGGAGATAGGATCACATGACTGTCACTCAGCCATTAATTTGTCTGGGTGGTCAGAGGAGTGCTGAGGTGAATTCTGGTGCAACTAGTCTGTCCACTTGTGTTCTAATAGAATGAAGTGATCTCTTGCAAGCTTTGGCAGCAGAAGGGTTAAAAAAGCAAACGAAAATAATTACAGTTAAGAGTTTACAAATTTTTAATTTTAAGAACTCATTGAAATAATGAGATTTTTAGTAGTTTTGAGTATTTGTTTCCTTGCTTTCAATTACTTAGCTCAGAAAATTGCCATTTAATGTAGTCCACTGTTATCCACATGGCCTCAAGGCACAGAAAACTTGGAGCATGTGCACGTGTTCATGTATCTTACTTAGGACAAACTTACTCGGTATAGCGCGCCCCATTGCGATCAGTTTCCCACACTTCATTTCCTGCCCAAGTGCTATGGGCAGGATAATCGGTCCTGTCTAGTTTTTATTGTGAAAGCAAAAGTAACTTAAGCAGCACTGACCATACCTCAACTATGTCATGTTCCCAGGCAATACTGCTCAGTGTTGGACGCCTCCCTCTTTCATGTTACTGTTTATGGAATTAGTCTGTCTGGTATATTTTAGTCCAGTTAAAAGCACCATTGATGATCTCACAGAAGTGTGTTGCATTTGTTGTCTCACTGCTGCTGCTCAGAGCAGTTACAAGGGAAATGGTGGATTTAGAGAAAGCACTTAGCACTGACCTTGTGCTTGTAAATAGGAACGGTGAGCCAAAGGTTCTTGGGAAATCTGCAGCTGGTCTGCCTGACTATCATGTATGGTGCTGAGCTCTTGAAGCTGGTGCCAGAATTCTATGCCAAGGAACACTGAGCTCACAGGTTAAGAATCATTTCTGTTTGCTTTGGATGAGCTTACTCAGCTGATTTTTCTTAACTTCCAGTGAAACCAGACACTGATTCAGCTATGCCAAGCTGTTCTCATGGTTTCCTGAGACCTGAAGTCACAATTCTGCTAGATTATTTTTGTTTATTTTTCTGCCCAATGCCTTCAGTTCTAGTGTCCTTCAGTAACCCTTGATATTACTGGTCTTGTGGGGTTATGCTGAGGTCATGCTCTCACACAAGTGGGATGTTTCTCCTCTCCTGTCAGAGTCTAAAATTAGCTAACTTCCCTCGTAATAAATCTTCAGGGTGTAACAGATCACCATAGTGCAAGCTAGTGAAATTAAGAAGGTATTTATCTATGCAAAGAAACAAATTAATTGTCACAGTTTCAGTATTTATGAGGCTGAGATTTTTTTCTTTTAATTGGGAAGGAGCAGTGAAGTGAAACTGGATGCAAGTGGCCCTTACAGTATTTATTTCTTTTCAGTAAACACTTGTAACACTTTAGAAAGCTTGACAGGATCATAATGTATCTGAGCAGGTATCATTCTAGTAATTGAGGAGCTACATTCATATTTGCAGCTCCTTATGTATTAATTGTCTGGGTTTCTGTTATAATTACAGCTTATTGTAATTTCCAGA